CATCACCTCTATCTAGTTCCAAAGCATTGTCCTCACCCAGAAAGGACACCATGTGCCCATTAATCAGTCATTCACTATTCCTCCCTACTCCCAGCCACCCCATTTGCTTTCTGTCTCCATAGACTTCACTATACTGGACACTTCATATAAATGTAATCATACACAATGTGACCTTTTGTGTCTGTTTTTGAGGTTTATCTATGTTGTAGCATGTAGTAGTACTTCATTCCTTTTTATGGATAAATGATATTCCATCATATGTACATACCATGTTTTGTTTATCCATTCATTTGTTGATGGACACTTGGATTCTTTCCATCTTTTGGCTATTACATATAATGTTGCTATGAATATTTCTGTACAAGTATTTACTTGAGTAGCTGATTTCAGTTCTTTTCGGTGTATACCTAGGAGTGGAATTGCTGGCTCATATGGTGATTTTGTGTTTAACTTTCTGAGAAGCCATCATTTTACTTTCCCACCAGCAATGCACTAGGGTTCAAATTTCTCCACATCCTCACCAGCACTTGTTGTTTTCCATTTTCTGAGGAACTCTCTTACTGTTTTCCACAGTTGCACCACTTTGCATTCCCACTATTGATCCCTTTTGAGTTAGTTTTTGTATAGGGTATGAAGTAGCAGTCCAAATTCGTGTTTTTGCATGTGGATATTCAGTTGAGCAACTTGTTGAAGAGGTGATTCTCTTCCCCAAGTGTCCATCTTGGCATCCTGTTAAAAATCAATCAATTGGCCATAGAGGCATGAATTTATTTCTGGACTCTCCCTTTTTTGTGGAGACAGAGTCTTGCTCTGTCGCCCAGGCTAGAGTGCATGCAGTGGAGTCATCATAGCTCACAGCAACCTCAAACTCCTGGGCTTAAGTGATCGTCCTGCCTCAGCCTACTGAGTAGCTGGGACTACAGGTGCATGCCACCATGCCTGGCTAATTTTTAAATTTTTTGTAGAGACAGAGTCTCACTTTGTTGCTCAGGCTGATCTCAAACTCCTGGACTCAAGCAATCCTCCCCGGTTGGCCTCCTAAAATGCTGGGATTACAGCCATGAGCTACCACACCCAGTCTGAACTCTCAATTCTATTCCATTGTTCTATATGTCTTTCTTTATGCCAGTACCATACTATTTTGATTACTGTAGCTTTGTTGTAAGTTTTGAAATCAGGAAATGTGAGTCCTCCAATTTTGCTCATTTTTTTTTTTCCAGTATGTTTGGTTATTCAGGGCCCCTTATGATTCCATGTGAATTTCAGGATGAGGTTTTCCATTTCTTCAAAAAAGATTGTTAGAATTTTGATCGCTTTGGGTAGTATTGCCATCTTACTATTAGGTCTGCCAATCCATTAATATGAATGTCTTGGCCGGGCACAGTGGCTCACGCCTATAATCCTAGCACTCTGGGAGGCTGAGGTGGGCAGATTGCTCAAGGTCAGGAGTTCGAAACCAGCCTGAGCAAGAGCGAGACGCTGTCTCTACTACAAATAGAAAGAAATTAATTGGCCAACTAATATATATAGAAAAAATTAGGCCGGGCGCGGTAGCTCACGCCTGTAATCCTAGCACTCTGGGAGGCCAAGGCGGGCAGATTGCTCGAGGTCAGGAGTTTGAAACCAGCCTGAACAAGAGCGAGACCCCGTCCCTACTAAAAATAGAAAGAAATTAATTGGCCAACTAATATATGTAGGGAAAAAAAAAAAAAACGCTAGCCAGGCATGGTGGTGCATGCCTGTAGTCCCAGCTACTTGGGAGGCTGAGGCAGTAGAATCGCTTGAGCCCAGGAGTTTGAGGTTGCTGAGAGCTAGGCTGATGCCAAGGCACTCACCCTAGCCTGAGCAACAAAGCGAGACTCTGTCTCAAAAAAAAAAAAAGAAAAGAAAAAAAAGAAAAAATTAGCCGGGCATGGTGGCGCATGCCTGTAGTCCCTGCTACTCGGGAGGCTGAGGCAGGTGGATCGCTGGAGCCCAGGAGTTTGAGGTTGCTGTGAGCTAGGCTGACACCATGGCACTCACTCTAGCCTGGGCAACAAAGCCAGACTCTGTCTCAGAAAAAAAGAGAAATGAATGTCTTGCAGTTTATTTAGGTCTTCCTTAAGCTATTTCAGCATGTTTTGTAGTTTTCAATGCACAAGTATCTTACTTCCTTATTTATATGTATTCCTAGGTATTTTATTCCATGTAAGTGGAATCGTCTTCATTTCCTTTTCAGATTATTCATTGCACAACTGATTTGTGTGTATTGATCTTGCAAGATCTGACATTTTTGAGCTTAGATGGCATGTATTATTTGGAGACCTGCTTTTTGTTCTCTACATTAGAAATTATCTAAGGTGCTACATCTAACTAGTTCATTCATCTTTTTTCTGTTGTACGATATTGTCCACATGAAGATATCACAGTTTATCTCTTCTCCTAGTGGTGGAGAGTTGGGCTGTTTCCAGTCTTTTACTATTCACTGTTGCTCTGCATGTGCTGAGGGATGGTTCTCAGCCAGGGGTTGGTTGTCAGCATTTTTCAGAAGATCTTTTTGATGCTAAAGGTCAGTCTGTGTTGAGAACCAAGTTCTAGAGCATACACCCAGGAGTATATACCCAGGGATACCTGACAGTGTGCACCTTCGGTTTTATTTGATGCAAAATAGCTTTTCCAGCGTGGCTATACTGTTCCAGTGCAGTATAACCAGTCTGCACACCATCGGCAGCATATAGATTCCACCGTTCCACATCCCCAACAACATTTGGCATTATCAGACTTTTTAATTTTTGCCAGCTGACCTCTCAAATGATTTTAATTTGTATTTCCCTGATTAATAACTAGGTCGAACATCTTTTCATATTTATCAACCATCCTTATTTCCTCTTTTGTTAAATGCTTATTTGTATCATGTGTACATATCTATGTTTATATATTCTGCATATGAATCATTTGGTTGCAAATACCATCTCCCAGTTTGTGGCTTTTCCAGGCACTTTATATGATATTTTCATTAACAGAAATTTTCTGTTTTATTGTGGATACATTTTTCAATCTGCTTTTTTTTTTTTTTTTGAGACAGAGTCTCGCTTTGTTGCCCAGGCTAGAGTGAGTGCCATGGCGTCAGCCTAGCTCACAGCAACCTCAAACTCCTGGGCTCAAGTGATCCTCCTGCCTCAGCCTCCCGAGTAGCTGAGACTACAGGCATGCGCCACCATGTCCGGCTAATTTTTTCTATATATATTAGTTGGCCAATTAATTTCTTCCTATTTATAGTAGAGACAGGGTCTTGCTCTTGCTCAGGCTGGTTTCGAACTCCTGACCTCAAGCAATCCGCCTGCCTCGGCCTCCCAGAGTGCTAGGATTACAGGCGTGAGCCACCACGCCCGGCCTCAATCTGCTTTTATGTCATAAAAAATCTCTCATGACCTTGAAGTGATTAAGCTAATCTCCTGTTTCTTTCTTTCAAAATGTTTAAAGTTTTACTTTTTTCATATTTAGGTCTTTAGTCCACATGGAATTGATTTTCTGTATATGATGTGCAATAGGGGTCCAATTGATTTCTTTTCCTGATGATTAACCTGATTTCTCAGCACAGTAAGTCCACCACACTGACTCCTTTCATAAGTCCAAGTAAGTCCACCACACTGACTCCTTTCATCACCCCAAATGCAATGCTTCCTCTGACACACACCAGGTTTACATGTGTGGGTCAGTTTCTGGCCTGTTTCCTACCCCACCTGCAGTCTTTGGCTGATAATAGTCCTTTTTTTTTTTTTTTTTTTAGGAGATAGAGTCTCACTCTGTTGCCTAGGCTGGAGTGCAGTGGCGTCAGCCTAGCTCACAGCAACCTCAAGCTCCTGAGCTCAAGTGATCCTTCTGCCTCAGCCTCCCGAGTAGCTGGGACTACAGGCATGCCCAATGCGGCCTGGCTAATTTTTTCTATATATTTTTAGTTGTCCGGCTAATTTCTTTCTATTTTTAGTAGAGATGGGGTCTCGCTCTTGCTCAGGCTGATCTTGAATTCCTGACCTCAAGTGATCCTCCCACTTCAGCCTCCCAGAGTGGTAGGATTACAGGTGTGAGCCACCATGCCAAGCTTATATTACAGTCTTATTCTCATATCTCACTCTTCTTCAGGTAACTCACATTGATGGTTATGCAGGTGTTTAAAATTTTTTGAATTTTTCTGGCAAAAACAGTGTCATGTCTCATCAGGCCTTTGCCCTTTTGTCAGTGTGCAATTTTTAAAATGCTCAGGTTTCAGACTGAGCCAGCTCCCCTGCAGAAAAGGACAAGTTTTAGGACAACAGTGGAACTTTCGCATTCCAGTAGGCATTTGAGATTATTTGTTGGTGGGTACTGGTTTTATTTCATGCCCATTTCACAGATGGGGGAAGAAGTGACCCAGCCTCTCTACCCCACTGAAGGACTGTGACCTGCCTCATGGCTCCAAGCCCCTCTCCCTGCCCCTCTGAAACCCTTGCCTCAATCTTCCCCGTCTGCCTCCCACACGGAGCTCTGGTTCTTCGCCTCCTGCTGCCTGGTCAGGTGGAGAAATGGAGGCCCAGGGGAGAGGTGGGCGTGACTTGGCCCTGGGCACATCGTGGATCTGTTGGGCCGCGGCAGAGCAAGGGTAAGCCCCCAGGCCTCCAGATGTCTCTCGTTCCTGACCTTTCCGGGTTCTGATAGTGTCTCCGCCGCCCCAGGTCTCCCCTTCCAACTGTCACCTTGTCTCCGCCGTCTCTGACATCCGGCTCCTGCACCCAGGCCCGGGCTCCACCCCTCTCCAGAGCGCCAGTTGGAGCCTTTGCTCTCCTCGGCCACCAGGGGGCGCGCGCGGCCCAGCCCGGCGCTGGAGCCCCCGAGCGCGCACCCCGTCCGTCCCGACGCCCCGCCCCGTCCGGCCGCGGCCCCGCCCCCCTCCGCCCCGCCCCGTCCGGCCGCGGCCTTGCCGTCGCCGCTCCCCCCGCGCCCCGGACCCCGGCCCGCGTCTCGCCAGCTCGCCGGGTGCGGCCATGGGCCCCGCCGCTCGCCCTGCGCTGAGGTCGCCGCCGCCGCCGCCGCCGCCGCCCCCGTCGCCGCTGCTGCTGCTGCTGCCCCTGCTGCCGCTGTGGCTCGGCCTGGCGGGGCCTGGGGCTGCGGCGGACGGCGGCGAGCCCCGGGCCGGGGCGGGGCGGGGCGGAGCCCGCGCGGTGCGGGTGGACGTGAGGCTGCCGCGGCACCACGCTCTGGTCCTGGAGGGGGTCAGGATCGGCCCCGAAGCCGACCCAGCGCCCCCGCTCGGCGGTCGCCTGCACCTGGTGAGCGCCGCGGAACCATCTGGACCCCGCACCCAGAACCAGCCTTCACCCTGGACCAAGCGCTGAGAGTCCAGCGCCCCGTCCCCAGGCTGCCCAGGGCCCCAGCATACAGGCTTCCAGAGCCTGAGATCCAGATGCCCTCCCCTTCGGACTCGTTCCCAAATCCTGGCCTTGCATCCCTGTGCCTGAACCCTGGCTCCCTCTTCCCCTCCTGCCTCCCTCTGGTCATGGCCCCTTGCCACACAGATGGACGTCGTGGATGCCGAGCAGGAGGTGCCGGCAGAAGGCTGGATTGCAGTGGCATACGTGGGCAAGGAGCAGGCGGCCCAGTTCCACCAGGAGAATCAGGGCAGTGGCCCGCAAGCCTATCCCAAGGCGCTGGTCCGGCAGGTGCAGGGGGTGTTTGCGGGGGAGGAGGGATGAAGGAAAGGGTTCCAAGGCATCTGCTGGAGCCAGGCTACCAGGTGGGCCCTAAGGAGCTTCCAGAGAAACCCTAGGCCTGGGTGGGTCAGGGTACCCCAGTTTGGAGAATTGAGTCAGTATAGTGTCAAACCAGGGAGGTGAGGGGAGGCCAGAGAGAGGTCAGGAAGCTCAGCCGGGCTCTGAGAGTATAGGATCGGGTGTTCCTACTGGGAGCGGGTGGGGGGACTGCCCTGCTAGGACCAGGGAAGACACACCATTGTTTGGATCCCACAGAGCATCTGGAGGGAAGGCAGGAGGAATGAGTTTCTGCCCTTGACCTCCAGGAGCTTATAGGTGGTCCAGAGAGTTTCACTCACTGCATGGTCAGGAGCTAAGAGCAGCTGGGGCCGCAGGTGGTTAGACAGGTGCATGGGCAGGTGTATACTAGCCTCCCGCCTTCTGTCCTCCTGCAGATGCGGCGGGCCCTCTTCCTGGGAGCCTCTGCCCTGCTTCTCCTCATCCTGAACCACAACGTGGTCCGAGAGGTAAACCGGAGCAGGCTGTGATGGGGAGCAGGCTGGGGGACAGGGACCATGACCTGCTGACCTCCCTGTCCCCCTGCAGCTGGACATATCCCAGCTTCTGCTCAGGCCGGTGATCGTCCTCCATTATTCTTCCAATGTCACCAAGCTGTTGGAGGCACTGCTGCAGTGAGTTGGGGTCAGGCTCCAAAGGACTAGACCTGGGAGCTGGTTACTGAGGGTCCCTGCATCGCCCATGGGTTCAGGGGTCTCAGCCTTAAGACTGTTCTCTACCAGGCTGAAAAATGGGTGAGGGGACAGGCTGGAAGTGCCAGGGTCTGGAGCCTGAAGGTGGCTCTGTGGGCGGAGGGGACTGGCCCCAGCAAGGAGAAAGCCAGACACCTGATTGACCAGCTCTTCCCTGGGCTCATGGGCTTCCCTGGCTTGGCTGGCATGAAAACTGGAAAAACTAATAGCCAGGAAAGGCCTGGGGACCAAAGCAGAAGGCCTGCAGGGGTGACATTCTAGCGCATCCTAAAGGGCTGGGCTGGATGGATCTGTTTTGTTTCCCAAGAGCCCTTCCATCTGGCCTCTCTACGACTTTCCCTCCCAGGAGGACCCAGGCCACAGCTGAGATCACCAGTGGAGAGTCCCTGTCGGCCAACATTGAGTGGAAGCTGACCCTGTGGACCACCTGTGGCCTCTCCAAGGATGGCTCCGGAGGATGGCAGGACTTGGTGTGCCTGGGAGGCAGCCGTGCCCAAGAGCAGGTGGGTGCTAGCCAGTTACACGGGGCTAGGGAGGGGAGGCTCAGGCGGGGCTACATCCATGGCTTTCTCTTGCAAATCCTGTGGCCTCTCTCCGCCTTGGTGGCCAGGACAGCCGCTCCCACCCACAGGAGTGTTCAGTGACATGATGCAGGTGGGTATTCCATGCAGCACCTGGCTCAGGGTCCCGTGCGTCAGTGTCAGCTGTTGTGTGTTGCTCTCCTGCTCAAAGGCCGCCTTTGGCTCCCCATTGACTGCAGAATAAAGTTCAGTCTGGCTTCACAGCTCTCCTGAGCACTCACTTGTCCTAGTTTTCTGGTCTTTTCCTCATGCTCTGGCCACCTTATGCCATTACTTCCCTCCACACACACCCTGGTGTCCTGCCACTGGGGCTTGTCCATGCTTGGCTATAGGCATGGACACCCTTTTCCTCCAGAACTATTTTTATAACTTGTCCTGCTGGCCTTCTCTGGAAAGCTTCTGTCACTCCCCTCTGCTTGAATGTCCCCTCTCCCTCTGCTACATCACCACATGCTTTATCAGGCTTTTCCTGGCCCTCAGGACAGCCCATCCCGCGTGTGCTGGGGAGCGTGACTTTGTCTCCTGACAGCCAGGGCCGTGTTGTATTACCTCTGAATTTCCCAATGCTCGGCATCAAGGGGGTTCAAAGATATTCTGTCCACAAGCATTTCTTGAGTCCCTATCCTGCTCAGGACAGTCACACACCAGCCTCCTAGTGTGCAGCCTCCAAGCAGGCCTGGGCCAATGTGGGCCGTGCGGTGCTGCCTCAGGTTCAAATCCTGGCTCTGGGCCGGGCGTGGTGGTTCACACCTGTAAATCTCTGCACTTTGGGAGGCCAAGGCAGGAGGATCACTTGGGGCCAGGAGTTTGAGACCAGCTTGGACAATATAGCAAGACCCCCATCTTAAACAAAATTTTAAAAATTAGCCCGGTATGGTGGCCCATGCCTGTAGTTCCAGCTACTCAGGAGGCTGAGGCAGGAGGATCACTTGAGCCCAGGAGTTTGAGGTTACAGTGGGCTATGAGTGTGCCACCACACTCCAGCCTGGGCAACAGACTGTCTCTAAAAAAAAAAAAACAAAAAAAATCTGGTTGTAAGACCTTTGCTGAGTGATCTTAGGCCAAGTGTTTAACCTCTCTGGTCTTGTGTTCCTTATTTGTTAACACGTGGGCAGCCCACACAGACCTCTGGACAGGGAAGGCCCTTGGTAAGAGGCCAGGAGGTGGGAGTGTGTGCAGTCTGCAGGTCGGTCTGGCTGGAGCAGAGGGCAAAGCTGCCTTGGCCATCCTACTGGCCAGGGTCGGGGTGGGCCTGTGCAAGCACTGCTGGCTGGGGTCGGCGTGGCCATGAAGCTAAGGCGTCTGAAGGGTGGCTGGGGCAGGCATCTCAGTGGCTGGCCGTTGGACTCTCAGCCTTGATTCCAGGGCCCGGTCACCATCTCTCCAGAGCTGTAGCGCCCGTGTATCAGGAAGGCCTGCTGAACCATGTCCTTGCTGCTCTGACGATGAGCCCCTGCCCTGTCCTCCCGCCTCATCCAGGACTCTCGAAGTTATGCAGAGCCTGGGGAGGCTAGGTCTCTGCAGCGGCGCCTCAGGCTAGTCATACCTTCGGGCCACCCAGCACTTGCTGGCTGCTCCAAAGCACAGAGTTCTAGAGCAGGGTCTGCCCTGGAGAGCTTGCGCTGCAGTGGCCATGCAGTTGGCCTGCCATGGGCCAGCCTGGCTCAGTATGGCATGGGACACAGCATAGCATGGGACACAGCATGGCATGGGACACAGCATGGCATGGGGCACAAAGGCAGGACAGCTCCAGCCCGGGGCTCATGAGCGCCCAGTTTGGGGAGCAGATAGGCCAGAGATACGCTGTCACTCTGCTGGGATGAGCACTGAGCTGGTGGTGGGCACAGGACCCTTCAGGGCATAGCAAAGTTACCTGAGCTCAGCCCAGAGCTTGGGGACAGCTTGTGGAACAGGTGCCACTGCCCAGCTGCAACTGGAGGGGAAACTGGGGCAGGTTGGAGGGAGGAGCTGGGGCTCACAGACATGTCTCAGTAAGAGCCCCCAGAGCATCTCCACCCCGAGTAAGAGCAACGTCTTGTGGCGCTAGCAGCACCCCACCTCATCTAGAGTAGTGGCCTCCTTAACTTTGAATCATTTCTAGGCCGGGCGCGGTGGCTCACGCCTGTAATCCTAGCACTCTGGGAAGCTGAAGTGGGTGGATCGCTTGATGGCAGGAGTTCGAAACCAGCCTGAGCAAGAGCGAGACCCTGTCTCTACTAAAAATAGAAAGAAATTAATTGACCAACTAAAAATATATATACAAAAAATTAGCCGGGCATGGTGACACATGCCTGTAGTCCCAGCTATTCGGGAGGCTGAAGCGGTAGGATTGCTTGAGCCCAGGAGTTTAAGGTTGCTGTGAGCTAGGCTGACACCATGGCACTCACTGTAGCCTGGGCAACAAAGTGAAACTATGTCTCAAAAAACAAAAACAAAACAAAAAAATCATTTCTCAGCTCCTTTCCCCGCACGCACGTGACAGTAGTTGAACTTCAGCACTGGTCAGGGAAGAATACGATGGCTGAGAGCTGTGTTTTGCTTCCTCTGACACATCCTCACCTGAGCCAACTGTTGGGTAGCCAGAGCCTAGCAGCATGCTGCAGGTGTGGGGGGTCAGTCAAGGTCCCCCTAGTACCTCTGCCCCCCACAAGGGGCCCAGGACCCCCATGTTTTCAAGTGTTTCCTTGCCAAATTCATGCATTCCACAAAGGCCACGTGAGGCGCTGGGGCTACAGTGGTGACCATGTCAACTGCGGCTCCCTCCTACCGCCAGGAGGACATGCACCCCTCAGGCGGCTGCATGTGCGGCCTGAGTGGGTGCGACGAGGGCGCGGCAGGGGGTGGGTGGGTCTGGGGGCCGCATTTGCCCTGCTGTGGTGGCCAGGGAGAGCTTCTGGAGCAAGAGGTGTCCAGGGGCTTTTGCTAAGGGAAAGGGCAAGGACGAAGACAGTGCCCAAGACAGGGAACAGTGTGTGGAAGAGCACAGACATGGGAGGAGGCCAGGAGCATGGGACGCTGAGAGGAGGGAGGCGGCACCGCAGGGAAGGGTGTGCAGGTGAGATCTTGCTGGCTGTGCGTGGGAGATGGGTGGGAAGGAGGGCATGAGACCCCCTAGGAGAGCCAAGCAGCAGGGCGTGGGTGCGGCTCCCACTAAGACTGAGGGTGCGCCAGCATTCAGCCTGGGTGGCGGTGAGTGGGTGATGGCGGGGCCTGAGGAAGTACGGAGAAGGGGTGCGGTGGGAGGGTGTGCTGGGCTAAGGAGTCTTTGAGGCTGCCAGATAGAAGCTTCCATGAGTGCAAACACCAGGTTTGTTGCTGGGAAGAGGCCTGGGCTGGGGACAGATGTGGCTCTCCTCAGCAGTTGGACGGGAGATGTGTAGGGTGGAGGCAGACCCTAAGGAGGGCACACAGGTGGGAGGGACGCAGAGGCCCTCTGCACACCTCACCGGCTCAGGCCTTGGCGCTCCTGGGGTGGATGTTCCCGAGTGAAGAGTATGGGACAGCCCCAGCATCCTTGACACCTGCTTCCCTCCCCACAAGCCCCTGCAGCAGCTGTGGAACGCCATCCTGCTGGTGGCCATGCTCCTGTGCACAGGCCTTGTGGTCCAGGCCCAGCGGCAAGCATCGCGGCAGAGCCAGCGGGAGCCGGGAGGCCAGGTGGGAGCCAGCCCGAGGGAGTCCCGGAGCCTCTAGCCCTTGGGCCTGCAAGACTGTGCCTGTCCTCTCCCCACAGGTGGACCTGTTTAAGCGCCGCGTGGTGCGGAGACTGGCGTCCCTCAAGACGCGACGCTGCCGTCTGAGCAGGGCAGTGCAGGGCCTCCCGGAGCCTGGCGCCGAGACGTGCGCCGTGTGTCTGGACTACTTCTGCAACAAGCAGGTCAGTGCCATGGCCGAGACCAGCCATCGGCTGAGCTGTGATGCTGCCCATCTGACTGCTGAGAGACCACCCCCACCAGGGCTACAGAAAGCAGAATTATGGGGCTGGGCAGGCCATGGGGTTTCAGTTTGCCAGCTCGGGTGAGGGGCATGGTACCAGGCACCCCCACCTGGAGTCCTGGCCCCGTGGCCTGAGCCTTCCTCCTCCCCGACCCCTGCAGTGGCTCCGGGTGCTGCCCTGTAAGCACGAGTTCCACCGGGACTGTGTGGACCCCTGGCTGATGCTCCAGCAGACCTGCCCGCTGTGCAAATTCAACGTCCTGGGTGAGCAGCAGACGCGGGGCCCCTTGGCCGATGCCACCTGGCGCCCGCCTGATCCCGCCCTCCCTGTTCTTTTTCCTCTTCCCCTGCAGGGAACCGCTACTCAGATGACTAGCTGCCTCCACTGGACTCTGCACGTGCAATGGACTCCTCTTGCCTGTACCTCGCCCTCAGCCTGGGCTACTGGGACAGGACAGTAGGACGGACAGGACAGCAAGCCCTGTAGGTGGAAGGAAGGATAAGGCCCCCCCCATGTTCACACTAGGAAGGAGGGACCCGCAGCGTCAGGCTGAGGATGCAGGGCTTAGAGCTGCCATCCAAGGAGGAGGGTTGCTTTGGTCCCTTTTCTGGAATCCTGGGACATCTGTGTCACCTCATCACAGGCAGCTCCCAGGTCACTGGGGGAAGAGAAATGTGGGGCTGGTGCAGCTGTCCCCGGGGCTCTGGGTGCTCTCTGTGGCCTGCCAGGGCATCCCTGAGGGCTGAGGCTGTGGTGGCCAGGTTTTGTGCTTATTTATTGGGGCCGTGGACTGAAGGAAGAGTGGGCTGGTGTTGGGACACCCTGTGGTGACCATCCTTCAGGATATGTCTTGGTCAAAGCTGTGAAGTTAAACCCAGAGACTCCTCCACTGCCTGTGGCTCTGGGACTCTTGGGTCCTATGGCCTGTGCAGCTGGGCTGCCTTCCTGGGCCTGGCTGGGACCAGAGGCCTTAGAAACCATCTAGTCCTGTACTTCTGGTTGGGGCTGTGTGTCACTGACCAGCATACTTGAAGCCACAGGATAAATGTGGTGCATCTTCCAGGGCATCCATTAAAAAAAAAAAAAAAAACAGTCGGGGTTGGGAAGGTTTAATAGTAAAATAAACATGGATATATTTTAACATAAAATGTAAAACGGTATGGATGTTTTAAGAAAAGGTCACCTTGGGTTCTACCGCATGTGGTAGGTGGAATTCTAAGGTAGCCCCCAAGATCCCCCCTTTGCTCCCCCCCCACAGACACGCCTTGTGTGATCTCTGAACTGTGACTAAGGGATTGCACTCCCATGATCAGGTGCTACATGGCACAGCTGACCTTAAGACAGGCAGTATCTGAGTGGGCCTGACCTAACCACGTGAGCCTGTGAAAAGCAGACTTTTCTCCAGCTACTGGAAGAAGTAGTCAGGGATTGGAAGCACGAGGAGCATTCAGTGCCTGAGCAGCTCTCTGTTGCCAACTTGGAGCCAGAGGGAGCCACGTGGCAAGGGAGGTGGATGGCCTCTAGGAGCTGAGGGCCAGCAGCAAGGAAATGGGGACCAGTGCTACAGCCACAAGGATCAAGATTCTGCCAACCACCAGAGCCAGCTTGGAAGTGGATTCTTTCCCAGAGCCATGGCAGGGGAACGCAACTTGGTGGATACCTTGATCTCAGCTTTCTAAGACGCTGAGCAGAGAGCTCGGCCATGCAGAGCGTGCCTTCTGGCCTCCAGAGCTCAGAGCTAAGTAATAAATGGATGCAGAGTTGGTGGAGGCCTGAGAGAGTTGCTCAGCTGGGAGGGGCCCTTCCCTTGGGCCTGGGCACAGGCCTCCTGCTCAGAGCTGGCTCGCCCCTGTGAGGGAGGGGCCGGGGCCTCTCGGAGGCAGAAGTTGGGCAAACCTGGATGTGCCAGTCTGCTCTGCACACAGCACTTACTGACGCCTGTTAACTGAGGCATGCTGCCTGGCGGCCCCTTCACCCAGAGAGGATGCCATAGGCGGCTGGGAGTGTGCACCCTAAGTCCTCAGCAAGGTCTTGGAGCCTGTCCTTCACAGGGGAGGTGACTCAGGGCAGGCTGGAGGCTTTGTTAGCAAAACTTGATAGCTGTGTGCCTGGTGTCGCTGGCAGTATCAGTGCCCAGCCATGTGGCATCCTGGGTTGGGTGGGCCCCAGAGGACAGGCCTGGTCAAGCCAGAACTGGCTGGGGCATCCAGCTGTCTGGTTGTGCAAGGCCTTGCCCTGCCTTGAGTGGCCTCTGGGGCTCTCACCTCCAGGATTTAGAGAAACCCTTTGTGACTCTCACCATTTCCTAATGCAAGGAGTGCATTTAGGGAAAGGGGGCCTGACAATCTTGGGCCCTTCATGTCCCCAGCAGCAGGTTCAGAGCCAGGGTGGGAGGCTAAGGGCGTTGCTGCCCTCTGCCTGCCTGTGAGCCCAGAGCCAGAGTCCCAGCCTCTGACTCCTTGCTCGTCTCAGGTGTCCTCACTGGCCCTTCCCCACACACCTCCACCCTGATCCTCCTTTCCTTTGGTGCCACTGAGTCCAGGTTTACCCCTTGGCCCTTGCTGCGGGGAAAGATTGCCCTTCACCTGGCCCCTGCACTAGAAGCTTCTTTCTGCCCTTGGTGTGCTCTCCTCTTCCATAAGTCTGCCAGGAAGGAGGCAGGAAGTTCCCATTTACTGAGGGCTCATAGTGCCAGGACTCTGCTGGCCAATGACCTGCATGGCTGGGGACTCAGTGGCCCTGCCCAGGACAGGGTAGGAAGGGCTGTTCCCCCGACTGAGCCACGCTGTGAGGCCAAGATTGCTGTGGGTACGTGGCGGGGCTTTATTACAGTGGGTGGGTGGCCAGCCGCCTGCCATCCAGCCCCAGCCCTGCTGCAGGCTACGTGGGCCGCTTCTGGGGCTGGTGTGCAGATCTGGCCTGGCTCCGGCCTGGTGACAATCTCCTCCTTAGCCTGGCCAAGGCCCGGATGGGGTTCTGGGCACAGATGGCTGAGTGGGTCACATCCTCCAGGGAGGGCTTGCTGGGCTGGCTGCAAGGCTGCGGAAGTGTGTCCTCTCGGGGCTGGCCTGGCAAGGTCTTGCTCGCACTGCCTGTCCTGCTGCCAGGAGGGTGCCCCTTGCTCAGGGGCCTGAGGGAGGACCAGATCCAAGATCCCCTGTGAGCGAGGGGGACCACTCCACCCAGCCATCTTCCCCACCTCTGGCAGAGCCTCACTCACCCTGGGGACACTCTCTGAGCCTGCACCGGGGGTGCTGCTCCCTGAGTTCCCTTGCTGAGAGGGGACCAGAGCTGGTCCTGCGGGATCAACTGCACAGAAAGCCAAGCTCAGATGGGCCCAGGAGGCTCCTCCCCACTGTACAGAGAGGATGTCATAGCTGGGGATGGGGAGGGAGGGCCCAAACCCATAACAACAGTCGCTTTCCTAAGGGGCAGGGTGTAAGAAGCCCTCCAGGGCCCATCCTCAGCTGCAGACTCTCGGGCAGGCAATAAATGTGGGAAGGCTGCTTTTCAACAAGGCTCTGGCTGCATGTGAAATACAGGTATGAAGGGCTGTAAGGGGCTTTGGAGCTAGAAGGCACTGGATCTGTACCATCCTTAGGCCTTGAAACGTGGAAGATGTTTCACAAAAGCACAGCCTAAAGCCACGTGTGATGAGGTGGGTTTTCAACACATTCCCACAGGACAGTCTAAAGACCTCGGATGGGTAGGGGCTTCCTCCAAGTCCCCAAGGGCTCACCCTCTCAGGCCCACCTTGAGGCCCCCCTGCTGGGCCACCTCCCGGATCTTAGACAGCATTGACTGGAGCCGCCCGTTCTCCTCCTGCAGGACCCGGATGCGGATGTCGTTGGCCTGCACTTGCCTCTCCATGTCGTCCGTGACGTTGCCAGAGTCTGCAGGGACAGGCTATCTGGGCCCCCACACCCCACCAGGTCTGCCTATTGTGCCCAGTAGGACGGGAGCACAGAGGGCAGGCACACCAGCGTGGGTGGGTGGCCTGGCAGGCACAGGTGAGCTGGGCAGAGAACTGGGCCTCCTGTCTTGTCTTCCTGCTCCTGAGGCCTTGTTCCCCCTTCCCTGTCCCCCCGCCAGCTGGGAAGGTGACCACAGTATTAAAAACCTTGAGAGCTGGGTGGGCCCTAGAGCTTGCAGAGGACTTAGCTAATAAGCTAATAAGAGGGTCTTTTCCAAGGCCGCCTGTTTTTGGCAGGCCAGAGAGAAAAAGTGAGCTGTCCAAAACCACACAGGACAGTGGCGCGGGGTGTGAGTCACGGGCATTCAGGAGGCTGCCCTTCCCCACGGCTGTGGGACGGACATTTCCTTCTGGCTGCGTGACCCTGGGAAAGCTGCTGCCAGCTCTGCTTCTCAGTTTCCTGGTTTGTCAAAAGGGGCTGCTGACCACCTCGCAGGGAGGTTGAGGGGGATGCAAGGCTTGGCACTTAGTGCCCAGGAGGGATGACTTATCACGAGCAGCTGCACTGAGCAGCTCCTCCGGATGCTCTGCGAGTGGACTCCCCCCAGAGCTTTACAGGGCTAGAGGGCTGGGAGAACCCAGGTTGCCTGACATCCAATCCTGTGCCAAGATAGAGACCTAGCACTCCTGTGCCATGGGGTCCAGGACACCAGACAACTGTGGGCTGTGTCCTTGGAACCAGCCCCACAGCGTGGTTTGGGGAGACACCAGGAAGAGGGGCGTAGGGAAGTGGAGCAAGGGCATGTGACGTGGTGAAGAGCATGGGCTACAGAGACAGCCACTCTGGCTCTGCATTTGGCTCTTGTGACTGGGGCAGTCACATCACCTCCAGGCTTCCACATCCCTGTCTACACAGGGAGAGGATAACACACAAAGCACCTGGGTGGTGCTGTCTCCTCTCCTGCTGCAAGCTGGGGAACTGCAACCCCAGTTTCCCACCCATGTGAGCCTCAGCTGCCCGCCCCGGGCCCTGGCATGCCTTTGGCACCATCCCTGGTCCCCTACTTTGGATCTGGGCCTCGCTGGGCCTGTGCAGGTCTGGGAAGGCCACCAGCAGCCGCTCCCGCTCCCTCAGCTCCACCAGCTGCCGCTCCAGCTCCAAGATGGTCAGCCGCAGGTCTGTGGTCACCTGCTCCAGGCCTTGCTTCTCCCGCTGCAGGCTCTGCAGCAGCTCCTGGGGCAGGGGGAGGCTCAGGCCTGGCTCCTGAGCCACATGTTCCCGGCTCCCCTGGGGACACTGTTCCCAACCCCTAGACATGAGACAGGTCTGCAGGCACTCTGGTGGCTGGAGGCCCCTCTGGTGAAAGGGAAGAACCATCCTCACCTGCTGGGCCTGGAGCTGGCACTGCCCCTGCTCCCTCTCGCCCCTCAGGCTCTGCAGCTGCTCCTCCACACAGGCCCTCTGGGCCTCGGCCTCGTCCAGGCTGCCCTGCAGCTCCTCGCGCTCCTGGTCCAGGCTGTCCAGCTGCTGTAGCAGGGCTCGCTGCTTGGCCTGCAGGGACTAAGTGGGAATGGACGGGCAGGGAGGCCATTAGGCCCACGGGGCCAGGCCCAGCCACATGGGACTAAAGAGGCTCCAGTATCTGCTACCCTCGCGGCCGCTGCCCTCAGGCTGTGTCTGTGCATAGGCGAGGCTGGCACAGCAGAGCGCAAGGGGCAGCCTGGTGGCACACGTGCCTTGGAAAGCACTTGGCTGACTCTGGGCCTCACCCTACTTCTTCCCAGTCACAGTCCCCACTTGGAGTGGAACTCTAGGAACCAGGCTTTTCTCAGAAACCTTAGGTGCCCAGTGTCACACATTAGCCCGTGCCACTGAAACCCACATTTCCCGACACCCACAGAGCATAAAGCAGGAAGAGCCTATGCTGGTCTGCTCTGAGTCTGGGCTCCATCTCTCGCTAGCCGTGTGGCCTCGGGCCATTTCCTTAACCTCACCAAGCCTCAGATTCCACATCCTTAAAATGGGGATGACAACAGTATCCATCTCCTACCCTTGTGGCAGGGAGTGAGAATAAGAGGACTACAGAGCCTGAAGCCCAGTGCCTGGGTCACAGCAGACACCCCATACCTGGTGGCTGTGACTATTTGCAAGGCACTGAGAAAAGCACCCTCTGAGGCAGAAAGGATTCCCTATCCAGGGCCCGTGCCTGACCCTCAGGACTCTCAACTGGGCTCCTGGCTCCCTACTGAGCCTGTGCGGTAAGCCCAGCCAGACCTGCCCCTTTCACTGGGTGACCTGTCACCTGTTCCCTCAGCCGCACCCCTGGGGACTTCTGTGAGACCCCACTGCCCGGAGTACAGCTGCACCCTGGCTCACCCTCTGTGCTCCCTGTCCTGCCCCTGGCTGATGGACTGATCACCAGCCACTGGCGTCCTGCTCAAAGGCCACCTCCTCCCAGAAGCCATTCTGGATTCCTATATCTGCTCATCCTTGCCTGGTGGGAAATCCTCCAGAGTGAGGCCTCTTGGGCAGTACTTGTCCTTGGGTCACTGTTCCCCAAGTCCTGGCTCAGAGCAGACTCTCTGTACATAGATACGTACATGAGCCCCCCAATCCCTGCCAGTGGAGCCCTCTTCCCGCAGCCCACATCGTGGGCGCCCAGGGCCTGGCCAGGACCCCGGCCTCACCTCCTGGTGGCGGACCATGCTGTCGACGCGGGCCTTCTCCTTGTCCAGCTCCGTGCTGGCCCAGCAGATCTGCTGGCTGGCCCCCTCCAGCCGCCCCGCCAGCAGCTGCACCTGCTCCTCCAGCTGCTGTACTTGCCTCTCAGCCGCCGCCCTGCGCTCGCCTTCCTCCTGCAGCTGCTGGGCCTTCGCCTCTGCAGGGTTGAGCAGGTGTAGGCGGGGTGGGGCAGGGGAGCCCTGGGTGCAAGTCCCTGCACCACCTCTGACCCAGCTGGGATGGGAGGAGGGGGGTCACATCACATCTGGCATCAGTATCCTCAGCCACAAAATGGGACTCTGGACCCCTCACCCGAAGTGGGTTTGTAAAACAGAAGGTGCTCTCTGGGTGGGAGGTGGCACCCCAGGTCGGTCATCGCCCAACAGGGTGGACGGTCAGGCCCACACTTTATCTTTGTCCTGGAAGCTCAGGGGACAGCAATGGAGGGTGCCTGTCCAGCTGTGGCACAGCTTGAGATGGGGCTTCTTACCCACAGCCTGTGTGGACTCCTGCTGCTGCTTCAGTTTCCTTTCCAGGGTGGCCACCTTTGTCTTTAGGTCACCGGTTTCTATGGCAGCCGAGAGAGAGGCCCTTCAGAGGCCCCTTGGGCCGGGCCGGTGGCCTTCATGCCCAGCGCACCCTGCAGCATGGAGGCAGCCATCGCAGTGCAGAGGCGCCTGGGGTTACAGGAGCTCTGGGGAGGACCAGGGGGTCTGGGCCCCATCTACTCTGCTCCTCACTGGCTGGCTGCTACCTGTCTGCACCTCTGGGCCTCCGTGCCCTCCATGGAGGCAACAGCGAGGGTGAGAAAGGGCAGTGACTTGCCCGAATCCCTCACGGCCTGCATCAGCAGGCACTGGCCGACCTCCAGTGCCAGCAGCGGCATCTCAGACAGCTTTTGGCAAGGCCACAGGGGCTGCTGCGCTTGGCTGGAGGTGCCGGGGAATTAACTCCCGGCAAGTAACCCTCCATGACCAGGAGAGTGAGTAGACACATAGCCCAGCCCCCACCCCTCCTGATGGGACAGGTCAGAGGCATCTCCTGGCATTTCCCAGTGGGACAGGGCTCCGGCTGCTCAGGATGTCACTGTCACTGCTGGATAAACACACCCTTCTTTGCTACCTCCCCTTCCCTGTTTCTTGCCCATGCCCCAACCTGGGTTTCTTCCATGCAGACTGCTTGCATTCGAAACCCTGTCCCAGGAACACCCATGCAACAGCTGTGGCAGAGCCCTTGGCACTGGGCGTCTGGCCCCTGGGGCACAGACCTGTGAGCAGATGCTGCTTGTCGTGCTCCCATTCGGCCAGGCGCTGCTTGGCCTCCTCCGCCTGCCGCTGCCTTGTTCCCTGCTCCCGCTGCAGCGCCTGCTCCAGCCTGCCCGCCTCCTTCCTCAGGCTGGCCTTCTGCCCCTCGGCCTCCTCCAGCTGGGCCCTGAGGGGCCCGACAAGCTGAGAGAGGGCCCCCACGTGCTTACTGAGGCGTGCCAGGTCCTTGCTCTGCTCTGCTGCCCAGTGGCCCACGGTGGCAGCCGGTAGCGGCCTGAGCCCCATGCTGTCCTGCACCAGCTGCTGGAACTGGCCTAAGGACGAGGGCAAGTTCTGGCTCTGACATAGGCTGATGACCACCTTGCCCACCTCCTGCAGGCTACCCTGGACGCTGGTGCATGCGTCACAGGGCACCAGGGCCGTCTCAATGGTCTGGCAGTGGACACTTGTGGTGTTCTCGGCTGTGGCTGGACACTGCAGGGAGAGTCTGACAGGGATGGTCTCCGGCTCTTGGCAGGTCTGGGGCAATCTTGGCATTGGGGAGGGGGCCTTGATGAACTTGGTAGTCATACGTTCAGGGCTCCTGGCTGGCTTGCCCTTGGCTGTGGGCTTGGAGGTGGGGGTTTCCCCTTGGTTTTCCCTTTGCTGTGGTCAGGAAAAGAAAAGAGGGGGGGCATGGGCAATACACATAACCTTAACATTTGTACCCCCATAATACACTAAAATAAAAAGAAGAAGAAGAAAAGAAAAGAAGGCAGGTGAGGGAGATGGGCCTGGGACTGACCGGTTCTCTGGGAATGTTCTGTGATAGCCTTGCCTGAGGCGCAGACCCTCAGATGTTATCTGACACCAAGTGACTGGGAGAGAACCATCTCCCTCTTTCTACTGACTCGCCTTACCAAGCCAGGCCTTGCTCTGCTGCCCCCACCCCCCACCCCCACCCCGGGCTTGATGTGATTACATACATGATATCATCAGGAGGGTAATGGTGACAGTGACAGCTGCCGGTTACTGGGCTCTTGCTTAGTGGACTTGCCTGCTCTCATGTCACTATAACCACTCTCACTTTTAGTTCCCTCCTCGACATGGTGATGGTGGTCGTTCCCCACTGGGTGGTTGTGAGGATTAAGGGAGAAGCCCTAACAAATAAGGCTCATGTTCCCTCATTGTACAGATGAAAAAAACTGAGGTTCAGAGCAGGGAGGATTTCTCCAAAGTCCTACAGCACAAATGGCAGAGCCAGGGAGTCCAGACACGGCCCCCAAGACCTGAGTTCTTAACTGGTGTCCTGTGTGGGCCTTGACTGGGGGGGCAGCGGGGAACCAGTGAAGGATGCAGCACACACGTGGTACCCCAGGAAGCTGGAGCTGCGCAGGGTGTGAGGGTGATCACAGTTGGGGGAGGGGGAGTCCAACCCACCTGGGGGGCCGCCTGCTGGTAGAGCATGCCCAGCCTCAAAAGGCTGTTCCAGAAGCGTCGCACTGTGAGCCCCACGGACATGCAGGGCCCCACTGCCTGGGCGGAAGGCATCATCTGCTCTGAGCCAAGGGTCTCCAAGTAGCTTGCACAGCTCTGAAGTAGCAGCAGGAGCCTATAGGCAGAGATGCCAGGGTTGCTGGGACCTCGGCTTGTGCCAACATGCTCCCTGACACTACACAACTGGCCACTACTGGCGCTGGGGAACCGGGCCAGGCATTAGGGCCTTGAAGAGTCTCAGCACATGCTGTTAGGCTAGCTTCAAACCCAACCCAGGGGTCACTCCCTCCAGGAAGTCCTCCCTGGTCCCAAGTTCAGTTCAGGGGCCTCTGTGGTCCTCCTGGGTGGCAGCACTTCTGCCTGGTTGTTTCCCCACTGGACTAGAAAGCTCTGGGAAGCCAGGCCTGGCCTTGCTTCAGTTGTATCCTGAATCCTTGGAAAGTTCTGGGTGAATAGCTGCCTATGCCAAGTGGCACAGAGCCTTTTCAGATGACAGAGCTGAGACCTCGAGAGGGGAGGAGCCTGCCCACAGCCACAGGGTGAGTAGGGCAGAGCAGGGGTGTGTGTGCAGTCTCCTGATCCTAGGCCGGGGCTTCTCCCACAGGGCGAGCTGCTTCTGTGACAATGGAGACTTGAGGTAAAGTACAGCTAGGTCTCTGTCCTAACCTCCAAGTTCAAAATTAGAGTCAGGTGCTAATTTTAAGGAACAAGGGCGTTAGAAAGATAAGTGGGGTCTTGGGTAGAGAGGGCCTGGGGGAGGAGGTGCCAACCACCTCTAGGGCCTGCCCCTTTCTGGCCAAGGTGTCCTCCTCTGTGAATGGGGACAATTGGCACTAGAGAATGGGAAAGCGTCTGGAAATAGGACAGATCATGGCCTCAACAGAGCCATCTGTCTGCCCAGACAGCTCCACCCTTGTGGTGGGAGACTGCTGTGCCGCCTGTGTCCTTAGCCACGATCCCGTCCATGAACTGAGCTCCTCTAAAGGCTACGCCATGGGCTGGAGACCATGGCCTTGACCTCCAGGCTTCCCAGGCTGGTCTGGGTCTCAGACCCAGCAGCCTCTGCCAGCAGTTACTTATACACACAGGAGCCCAGAGGCTCTGACTCAGTCAGAGGTGGGCAGTGGGGTCAGGCGGGGGGGGGGGACATGTCAATAATAGCGTCAAAGAGAAGAGGGCAGTAAGCTGGGCCTTGATGGTGGAGTGGGGCTTGGCCAGACCAGGAATGGGGGTCAGGGCATTCCTAGCAGAGGGACAGCATGGTGCGTGGTGCAAAGCCGCAGAGGAAGGAAGGTGTGTTCTGCGCTCACACACGTCCAGTCCCTCATAGGTTACTAATGGTGCTTTCATATCGAGGGCTCCTTTAGGCCTCAGGGTGGTAACCCTGGCTTCTCTGTGCCAGGCAGGTTATCCTGCAACTGCTAGGGTCCCCCTCACATGTCTGCTGCCTGCCTGGCCCCAATGGCTTTATTAGTGTTTAAGGTTTTAGAGCACAGGGAGCCTGGGCTGGCGGTCCCCAGGAAGGAGAAGGCTGATGACCACATTAACCTTAATGATAGCACGGAAGTGGTGGGGCTGCAGGGGAAAAGAGCCTGGGATGGAAACTCTGAGAAGCAGCTATAGTGTCTCCAACACACAGAAGCCCTGAGGGAGCAGCTGGGAGCGGCTGGGAGACAGCAGCCAGAGCTGTGGTGCCACAGAGACCAACAGGCCAGCGACTCCCTGCGGCAGACAGGACAGCACAGCCTAGCACACAGCACAACCAAAGGCGAGATCGCTTGGAGGTTCCTGAGCTGGTCTGGTCCCTGTCAGGTACTTAGCCAGTGGTGAATGTTTTCCCAATGTCGTCACCACCCCTGGAGGAAGGGGTGGGCTTCTACAGTTGCTACTGATTTAAGGGGCGGTGCCAGCATCCTGAGATGACCAGCATGGCAAGGCCCTCACCTGTCAATGACCAGCTCCAGCAGAACGGCGTGGGACAGCTGCGTGAACTCGGGGTCACCTGGCACATGGTCATAGTGCTCTAGCAGGGCCACCATGTCGAGGTCACAGGCCACGCGGTCAGGGAACTTCCAGGAGGGGAAGCGCACGGGCCCAGCACGGGAGAACACATCTACGATGGCGCCCTGCAGGTCAGTGAGGTCCCGGCGCAGGCTGTCCATGCAGGCCTGGCTGCCTAGCAGGTGTGCCATCCTCACAGCTCCTGGGGTAGGAGAGAGGGGTCCTGCTAGCCAAAGCCATGAGCTGCTATTGGAGGAACCCCCTAAAACCCTAATTTTCCTGGTGGCTCCTAGGCTGAAAGTCCACTGCAGACCATGGGGATAAGTCTGTTCTCCAGTCTCAGGTGACAAGGCCTTTCAGGACCCGATTCTGGGCAGCCTTGCCAGCCTCCCTGTCACCCACTCTTCCCCGTACCCCAACTGCTGAGCCCATCATCTCACGAGTCCCTCCTCAGAGCCTGTGTGTGCCAGGCCCCTGCTAAAGGCTGAGAGGACAGCTGTGAATAAGAATGTGCATCCTTCCCTCCCAGGGCAAACCCTTGAACATGGGCACAGACAACTGAAAAAGAATTACAGCTACAGTGTGGTGGAGTGTTGGGCCACACCAGGCCACTGTCATCTCATGCCTAGACCACTGCAGCAGGTTCCAGCTGGGCCACAGGTCTGCCTGCTCTGATCTGATCAACTTCAGCTCCAGAGATCTGGGCCAAACTCTATCTGACCACATCACACTGGCCAACAATGCCTCAGGACTCCCTGTGACCTGTGGGAGAAAGGCCACCTCTGGCCACAACCCCTACCCTTCCCTCTCCAGCCCCCTCCCATACTCTCCACTCCTACCACCAGCAGCTATGAGCAGCAGCTCGCGCACCAGGCACTTGTCTCTGAATCCTTGCCCACCTGCCCCTCTGCCGCATCATGCTTCCCCGTCCAATTCCCACCACCTGGCTAACTCCTTTCACCCTTCAGGGTTCCAGGATATCACCTTCTCCAGAAACGCTTCCCTGAGCACCCTCCAGGCTGGGTTAGATAAGCCCTCTGGGCTCCCCCATCTCAGCTCTGATTGCTCTCTGCCCTACAGCCTCCTCTCCAGGCCACCTTAGTCACTGTGGTGTGTCCAGTGTGGCCGGCCTGGGGACTAGCCCATTGTAGATGCTCACTGGCAAATGAAGGACTAAGGGCATGCTTCAATAGTGCTAGTTCTGGCAGATAGATCATGCCTATAATCCCAGCACTTTGGGAGGCTGAGGCAGGAGGATTGATTGTTTGAGGCCAGGAGTTCAAGACCAGCCTGGCAACAAAGTGAGACCTCATCTCTCTCTCTCTCTCTCTGTCTTTTGAGACAGAGTCTCTCACTCTGTTGCCCAGGATAGAGTGCCATGGCATCAGCCTAACTCATAGCAACCTCAAACTCCTAGGCTCAGGCGATCCTCCTGCCTCAGCCTCCCCAGTAGCTGGGACTACAGGCATGCGCCACCATGCCCGGCTAACTTCTTCTATATATTTTAGTTGGCCAATTAATTTCTTTCTATTTTTAGTAGAGATGGGGTCTCACTCTTGCTCACGCTGGTTTCAAACTCCCAAGCTTGAGCAATCCGCCCGCCTCAGCCTCCCAGTGTCCTAGGATTACAGGCATGAGCCACCATGCCCAGCCCAAACAAAACCCAATCTCTTCAAAAAATAAGAAAAATTAGCTGGTGTGGTGGCATGCACCTGTAGTCCCAGCTACTCAGGAGGCTAAGGTGGGAGGATCACTTGAGCCCAGGAGTTCGAGGCTGCAGTGATCTGTGATCATGCCACTGCATTACAGCCTGGGTGATAGAGCGAGACTGTCTCTAAAAATATTCTTTAAAAAATTGTGCTAGCTCTAATTAAACCTACTGTGTGCCACTTCCAAAAATCTTCCTCCTTTATACAGAAGAGGAAACTGAGGCTCTGGAAACTTAGGGGACTAGCCCAAGGTCGTTCAGGGAGCTGGGACTCTCAGTCCAACATCTCTGTTCTATCTTCAGGCCATGCTGTTTCTAGAGCAGCAGTGTCCAAAAGAAATATAAGGCAAGCCACATATGGGACTTTAGATATTCTATTAGATACTGATGGGTTACAGGAAATGCTACCCCAAAATATAGCACCTTGGAAACTGAGAAAACTGCAGAAGCAGGAAGACTACAATCACCTTCCCCTCATCCATTTCCCTGAAACAGGCCACTAGAAAGGTCCCTCTCTGACCTTCTCTTTCCCTTCTCCTCTGTGACAGGTGTCCTGCTCTGTACCTAGTTGAGAAGGAATGTCACAAAGGGACATCTAGAAGAATCTGAACAAATGGGTTTTGCTAAATTCTCCCCCACTTTATTACTAAGATCATGCCCTTCTGTCTTCCAATCATACTTCTGTACAATTGTCTACAAAAATACATAGATCACCCCATTTCTTTGAGTCTTCATTTCTGAAGGCTCCCATGTTAGGGAAAAATTTATTAAATAAATTTGTATACTTTTCTCTTATAAATCTTTCTTGCTATGGGCATCTCAGCCATGAACCTAGCAATAAGTGAGGAAAAGATATTACTTTTTCTTCCCTACACATTAAAAATAAATTAACAAATTTAAAAATAGGCAAATTAATTTTAACAACATATTTTATTTAACCCAATATACCTCAAATATTATCATTTCAATATGAACTCAAGATAAAATTATTAAAGAGATTTTTTTACATTCTTATTTTTGGTATTATGTCTCAAAATCCAATGTCTATTTGACACAGCACATCTCTGTTTGGACCAGATACCATTCAAGTGCTTGAAAGCCATATGGGCTGGTGGCTACTGTATTGAACAGTACAGGTGGAGAGGGTCAGATGCTATGTGCTCATTCAGCAAATGAGGACTCATTATCAACTACCATGTTTCCCGGAAAATAAGACCTACCCATAAAATAAGCCCTAGCAGGATTTCTAAGCATTTGTGCAATGTAAGCCCTACCCTGAAAATAAGACCTAGTGATGGGCATGGCTACCCAGCTTATCTGCACAACCCATGCATTTCGTCACTGTCCCGGAGCTGTAAAGAAGAGGAGCAGCCCTTAGCAGCCCTTCTCATCTGCCCCATGAGAGCTCTATTGCTCAGCATGAGAGACTGGGGCCAATGGTTCTAAAGGAAATAGAGTTGTAAGAAATTCAGGATGGAATTCCGGGTTTGGAGAGTTATGATGATGTTCCAGGAGAAGATGACTTAACCATATTTGAATAAATGTAGATTGTGGTACCGTACTTAAAAAAAAATCCCCTGAAAATAAGCCCTAGGGTGTCTTCTTGAGGAAAAATAAATATAAGACCCTGTCTTATTTTCAAGAAAACATGGTATGTGCCAGGCACTGTGTCAAGACGAGGGACACAGCAGGGCACATGGAGCCCTGTCCTCCAGGAACCACCAACTATGTCTGAAAGTCTCTGCAAGGTGTAAGCTTGGGTGTGTCAGCTCCGCCCACATGATGGGAAGTGATGTATGTCCACCCCACACTCACACACACAAACACACACATGCCCACATCCCATATACTGCCTTGGCAACTACCTCTCATGAGATACTGCTGCCCAAGAGATTTTATGTCCCCAAGGAGGGAGACAGAAACAAAGGAAAACAATAGACTAAAACATTCTGGGTTTCCTTCTTGGAATGAGCATGATGTAAATAAATAAAGCAATCAAGAAGCCCCAACCTGGGAGCAAGCGTATTCGGGTGGCAAAGCACCTTAAACTCATAAGCTTGCTTGTGAAGGCACCAAGAAACACTGATCTCTTCACTTTCAAACAACTGCAGCTGCCGTCTTGGGCTATCAACTCCCATTAGCTTCTGGTTCAGATAAGTATCAGTGAATGCCAGAGTATCAAGACTATCCAAGGTTACCTTATGTCCTTTCTTCTGAAAATTGAGGTTATGCAGATATAGGTATGGTTTTGAAGCACTTAGGTGTGTGTCAAGTGAAGGAGCATCTGACATGGGCTTTCTCTGTAATTCCCGGATCTTGAGTGGAACCCGCAGCCTAAAGCTGTCAGCCCTGCACTGTTCCTGTGACCAAACAAGTGACAGCACTAATTTCGCTAACACTGCCCTTAGGGAGCAGCAGTGGCTAACTGTGCTTCTCCTCAGTTCCCTGAGGTTCAAGGTGGACTTTTGACTCCCAGGGAAGGGCAGAAGCCTTTCCTCCACTCCCATTCAACACTCAAGCCTCTCTGAGAACTAGTACTCTACCCCACTGATAAAGATTATTTCTACCTCCCAGCCAATGTGCCCACTGAGATGCGAAGTCACCACCGTGAACACACTTTGGAAACTCTAAAACCAACTACATGGCAGTTGTCAGTCTCTGACCTGAGGTGGTTAATTGCCTGGATTCCTGGGGACACTGAAGGCACCGAGTGAGAACAAACGATTGCACTAATAGTGGAGTAAGACTGGCCGGTGTTTGGATTCGCACTCCACCAACGCCGAACTTCACTGTCCTTATCTGTAGATTGCTACAGGGAATAAATGATGTAATACGTGAAGTGTTTGGCACAGGGTCTGGCTCATGGTAAATGTCCAATACATCCCAGCTATCATTCCACATTAATAATAACAATGACATAAACCAGCTACGATGTGTGTGGGGCAGGGAGGAAGGGGGAAGGGGGCCCGGGAGGGGCGAGAGAGGAGGGGATCCCAGGAGAGGGAGAGAAGCCCGCAGAATTCGAGACACGCCTCTGGGACGCGAGGGGCGTGGTCTGCAGCCGCACCTCTGGGAGTGAGGGGTGGAGCCTAAGGAAGCAGCCCAGTCTTGAGAGGGTCCGGTTGGGCTTGCGGGCGGGGCTAGGGAAGGCTGCAGGTGGAACTTAGAAAAGCAGGGCCAAGGGAGAAAGGACCAGTGGGAATTAAGGGCGCTGTTTTGGAAGGGGTCCTTGGAGGAGGTGGGCCTGGAGTGAAAGAGGGAGCTGCAAGGGAGTAGGGAGGTGGGGCTTTGAGTTCGCAGGCCTGAGGGGAGAGGGGCTCTCCTAAGTGAGAGGCCAACGGGCGGGAGCGGGGCCCGTGGACTGCGGGGTCGGAGGGGGCGAAGAATTGGCTGTGGAGTAAGGAGGGGTCAGGCCTGCGAGGTCAGGTGCCGTAGGACATCTCACCTGCCTCCAGCGTCGCGGCTTCGGCCTCTGTGTCTGGCTGGCTCGTGGAACTGCCCGTGGCGCGCCTCGGCGATCTCTGAAACCCCTATCCTGGCTCCGTGGCCGCTGCCATGGCAACTGCGTCGCGAGCAGCGGCGCCCGCGGGGAGGGGCGGGAAGCACGCCACGGCGAGGGGGCGGGCCCGGAAATGCGTCAGCCTCCCCTCCTCGGCGACGACTCCTTCGGCCGCCGCCATCTTGGGAGCTTGTCGTACCGTCCGGCAGGGAACCTGTCTTGACGCTGCACCTCTTACCGATACCGAGGCGGGCTGGCAGCCCTGAGCGTCGCAGTCATGCCGGCCGGACCCGTGCAGGCGGTGCCTCCGCCGCCGCCGGTGGCCACCGAACCCAAACAGGTACCTCGCCGCCACCCCCACCCCACTCCGCACCTCAACCTGCAGCCCGAGCCTAGGCCTGGGCGCTCCTCCCTCGTGTTGGAAGAGGCGGCCTCTCTGGGAGGGCTCGGAAGGACTGCGAGTCCCAGGAGGCTGAGCGCGTCCCGCGCTGCCTTCTCGTAGCAAACGAGCGCTCTAGAACAGTGGTTCTCAAAGTGGTCCGCGGACCATCGGTATCGGCGCGACCTGGGAGTTTGTTTGAAATGCGAAGTCTCTACCTCTAGATAGGAATCTGCATTTTAACAGGATCCCAAGGTGATTTCACTAAAGTGTGAGAAGCATTGTTTCACCGACTGGCTTTGGCAGTTGGGCCTCCAGCCTTTGCCCAATAATCCCTAATTTTCCGGTCTGTACGGTACATTTTTGGATGTTAATGCTCAGCATCTACTCATTGTTTACCCTAAACCATACACCGTGCCAGGCCCCGACGTCACCGGAATGAATGAGGCACGACCCTTGCCTGTGGAGCTCACAGACTAATGGGAAGACAGACATACCTGAATACTTGACAGATGTTTATTGTCTGGATCACTATAAATGATATAGTGTCATCAACCCATCCTTTAAAAAGCTCTCAATCGTGCTACTGAAGACCATCTCTTAAAAAGAGAGAGAGAGAGAAAGAAAAAGCTCTCAATAGAAGGGAAAACTGTGCATAATTAATTGTGTATATGGTATCATATACCCTATGCTAGAAGGACGTGGTAATCTAATCACCATTGCTTGCTGGAGTAAAGAGGATATTAAGGTAGGGGAAGGTCACAGGATTGAAAAGTAAATTGCTTTTAGTAGGATGAATAGGAGTTCACCAAGGAGGTGATTAGGGAAGGAAAATAGTAATTTTTATTAATTCATCAAACATTTATTGTGCACATACTATGTGCTGATCACTGCTTTGGGTTCAGAATAAAATAGGGACATGCCTGAAGAGTGTGCTCTTTCCACAAATATTTAAGTGCCTTTGTATCTCTGGTATTTTCTCAGGCACTAGGGGAAAATAAACAAGATAGTACAGGATAATAAGTACAAAGACTGAGGTAAGAATCAGATGTTGCCTCTGGTCAAGGGTAAAGGAACAAGTGTTGAAGTGTAAGGTTAGGAGAGCGGTGGCAGGAGGTGTGATTCTTAAGATTTGAACTTTTCCTTGTAGACAATGGCAAGAAAAGGAGGGGTTTTACACCGGATAGTGACATTTGCATTTCAGAAATTCAGATAGGCAGACAGTGATATAGAGAATCACTAGGAGGGTGGGAGACCAGTCAGCCACTCTATTCAAAAGATGCTGAGCTTCAGAAAGACCATAGGAGACAAAGGGAAAAGAAAGAAAAATGAAACAACAAAAAGTGCTGAGTGCCTAGCCTAGATTGGGAAAGGAGGATGGGGCAGAGGGGATAGGCAAGCTCTTGTCACAAGGTGGCTGATGGTACAGGCTCTCCAGCCAAAATGATGTGTTGAAATCCTGGTTGTGCCAATTGGACATTAAGCTCTGCATTCCTCATCTGTTATATCTCATCTGTAATATGGGGGTAATAAGAGTATTTAACCTCATAGGGTTCTTGTAAGGGTTATAAGAGTTAACATAATTAACGTGCTCAGAAAAGTGTCTGGGACCTACTCTGCTTGATAAATGATGACATTTATTGTCATTGAGTGTGGAGGCTGAGGAAGGGAAAGTAGGCCCAAGTTTCTGGCTTGGATAACAGGATAGCCACTCATGAGGAAAGATGTTAGAGATGAAAGTGCCCAGGGGTCCGCGGCATCTAAAGACACAAGAGTGATCTGTGACATGGATTTGGGTGGGATTATTCAGCCTGGAGGTGGGAGGGGAAGTGAAGGACGTGGCTGTGAGTGTCTGACTTAGGTGTGACTACTGTGCCAAGAGAACCAAGAACAGAATTTTGGGGGTCTCTAGCATTACAGGGCAGGAGATAAAACAGGAGCCAGGAAGGAAACTTGGGTAGAATGGTGAGCAAGAAGGACAGACAGGTGAGAATGGGGTGTGGGAGTTGAGTGGAGAGTTTTGTGAAGGAATGGTCACTAGTCAAGGCCAGATAATGGCTGTAGTTGGCTGTAGGCCGTTTTTGATTTTGGCCAGAGCACTTGAAATGAATGGGAACTAAATGGGAGGTGAGGAAGTGGGAAGGCCAAGACTGAAAAGAACTCAGGATGTTTAGCTACTAAAGGAAGGGAAGGGAGAAGGGACCAGCATAAAGGAACTTGTAGTCAGGGGAGAAACTTGATTTTTCTAAGATGAGAGACTTGACCGTTTATTTACTAAGGGGACGAAGCTGCTGAGGAAAGAATATTGGAGTTTATGGGACAATTAATATTGAATATTCCAGCAGAGTTTCACAAAACATTTGAGCGTTGAATGGGGGTTAAGAGTGTGGAATGGATGCTGAGGGAAAGGACATTCAGGGCAGAAGGAGCTGCCAGTGAGGAATTTCCCGTTTCTTTATTCAACAAACAATTACTGAGTGTTCCATGCCAGGCACAGCACTGTGTTCACAGTTACAGACATGGCCTTCTGGATTCTGGACCATGGTTTCTCAGAAAGTAGTCAGAGCCTCTGCATCCTGTATCATCTGGACACTTGATACAAATGCAGGTTTCTGGTCCTGCTGAGGCAGCCCAGCTAGTTGGGAGCCAGGAGGCTGCTCTTTTCCCTCCTCCTGGTTTCCCAGGAGTGGCCCATGCAAGCGCACTGCTGTTAAGAGAACTGCTTTTCTGAAGCAGGGGATCTAACCTGAGGGAAGTCTGTGGGTGACAGTCTATGCTCTCAACAGTATCCTAGAGGGGTTTAACAGTATTTCCTTGTCTTGTTTTCACAGCCCACAGAAGAAGAAGCATCTTCAAAAGAGGATTCTACACCTTCCAAGCCAGTGGTGGGAATTATTTACCCTCCTCCAGAGGTCAGAAATATTGTCGACAAGACTGCCAGCTTTGTGGCCAGGTAACATAGCTACTTCTGCTAGGGTGGGTCAGAGGTGGATTTTAGGAGGAAGAGTTCCTGAATCAGCACAAGGATAATGCCTGGGCTTTTGGAGAGGCATTGTTGGCTTAGGCCTTTTAATTTGTCTAGAACCACAGCATGGCAATTAGGTGGTAGCTTCTCTGACACAGCACAGCAGTGGCCAAAGTGAGAGTCACACCTACCTCTATAGGCACCAGGAGCTTCTGCTTTCAAAACAGGCTTAAGGAAATGCCTGGAAAGCTGCTTTGGCAGAATGTATGTGTTTGTGTCTGAGCTGCTGGCCTGAATAAGATAAAACGGAGAATTGATCATTCTCATTATGCAAGGACTGCATTCCACAGAGCTTCAAATTACCTATCTACAAAATTGAACAAAATACCATCTCAGAGTTGTCCTGTCTGAGGCAGGAGGGAGGTAATGGGACTGAATGCAGTTCAGTTACGTCATGCAGGTGTTAGCTGTCATCTCAGATGGCATGGAAATTGGTCAAGAGTTCCTCCCCTCTCTCATTCCCACTGCACTTAATGCACAAGGATGGAATCTTCTTCTTCTTCTTATTTTTTTTTTTTTTGAGACAGTCTCACTTTGTTGCCCAGGCTAGAGTGAGTGCCGTGGCATCAGCCTAGCTCACAGCAACCTCAAACTCCTGGGCTCAGGCAATCCTCCTGCCTCAGCCTCCTGAGTAGCTGGGACTACAGGCTTGCGCCACCATGCCCAGCTAATTTTTTCTATATATATTAGTTGGCCAATTCTTTCTATTTATATAGTAGAGACGGGGTCTCGCTCTTGCTCAGGCTGGTTTCAAACTCCTGACCTTGAGCAATCCGCCCGCCTCGGCCTCCCGGAGTGCTAGGATTACAGGCGTGAGCCACCACGCCGGCCTATTATTATTTTTGAGACAGAGTCTCATTCTGTTGCCCAGGCTAGATTGAGTGCCGTGGTGTCAGCCTAGCTCACAGCAACCTCAAACCCCTGGGCTCAAGCAATCCTTCTGCCTCAGCCTCCCGAGTAGCTTGGGACTACAGGCATGTGCCGCCATGCCTTGCTAATTTTTCTATATATTTTTAGTTGGCCAATTAATTTCTTTCTATTTTTTAGTAGAGACAGGGTCTCGCTCTTGCTCAGGCTGGTTTCGAACTCCTGATCTCGAGCAGTCCACCTGCCTTGGCCTCCCAGAGTGCTAGGATTACAGGCGTGAGCCACCATTCCTGGCCTGGTGGAATCTTCTTGATGGCCACTTGACTCCAAAGGTCAACAACATCCACCTTGTCTAAAGTATTTATAGTATTCCTTTGACAGCCAGTAGGCTACATATAGCTTACAGATGTTTTGTTTGTCCTCATAATATTTTTTTAAAACTCAAATTAGTTGCCACTATTTAAAAATTAGGAGATTTTATAAATTTCTAATCTAGATTACGGTAGCTCACGCCTGTAATCCCAGCACTTTGGTAGGCTGAGGCAGGAAGATTCCTCAAAGTTAGGAGTTCAAGACCAGCCTGAGCAATATAGCAAGACCCTATCTTTACAAAAATAGAAAAATTAGCTGGGCATAGTCTTGCTCACCTGTAGTCCCAGCTACTCGGAGGCTGAGGCAGGAGGATTGCTTGAGCCCAGGAGTTTGAGGCTGCAGTGAGCTGTGATCAGCTCTTGCCTTCATGCCCAGGCAACAAAGTGAGACCCTGTCTCAAAAAAAAAAAAAAAAAAAATCTGGATT